TGCACAGGATTTTATATCAGTTTTGTGTCATTTATTCAAGATATTTGGCATCCTAATTTGGTACTCCAATAAGTGACACAAAATGGGTTTAAAAATGTTTGAATCAGGCAATGTGTATCTTTTATTAAGGTTGAGTATTTTGTCCAAAAGAAATGAAATGCACAATTTGGTTCAAGCATTTATTAGCTCATATTTCATTTCTTGTACGCTGGGATTTCAGTTTACAGAATCGTGAATATTTAATTTCGTTATAAAGGCAGTAATTGATACGATAATGGCATTGTATCAAAAAGTACTTTATATGTGATAACTGAATACAATTTGGATTGCTTCCTCCAAATACACATTTCAACAATTACTCACTCTATTATATGTAGTAGCATTCTCCAAAACAGCTATTTAAAATGGTGTCATCTTTCTGCAGTTTTATTTTGAATGTAATATGTGCTTATTTCCCCCCGAAACTATTAACCCCTACATCCTATTACTTATCCAATTCATTTGCGCTATTCCCATCCAACTCCTGAACTTCCTCTTCCCAATTATCCGCTCCTAAATGCCTCCTTCACGGATGCTTCAGCTGCTCCTCAAGTGCAGAGTGACAGGGCACGTCTGCTTCGCGGCTGCTTGAAAAAAACGAGAACTATCTTGCAGAGAGGATGACGAATGCTGCAGGAACTAGCCTCCGTCAAAAACCGCCAACAGATTATGTAAGAGCGATTGCGGTCTTTAAAACATCATTAGCTTTCTCTGTCCATCCGTCTTGTACTTTGGCGTGAGCGGGGAGGAAAGAATGTCTGATTAGCTTTGATTTGCAAACATCTCTGGTTACATTTTCCCAGGCTGAAACACAAGAAGAGGCGTCCACTTTTTGGAGCTTGTGTGCACACATTGAAAGCCTGCAACTCCCCCTTTTCTTTTCACTCACCACACACGCCCAAATCCACGTGTATAAGCTGCCTCTCCTTGGCTGCTGAACTGCCTATGCTGTGAGATCATCCTCTGTGAGAACAAGTGCCATTGGCTTTGACCATAACAAGCAAACAATATTTTATTTTAAAAAGAAAGTCCCCCCTCACACCTCCTCCACGCTTTCTACTGTGGTTAATCAAACAAGCTCCGTCAGTCAGATAATTGGAGATAAGTGGAACAAACACGCCTAGCCGGTTGTCGACAACAGAGTTCAAATACATGCGGCGTTTACTATGCACTATACAGCCCCAGTCCATTTTCTTTTAATATTTGAGAGCGTAAATCTCGCCTGGTTTTTATGACTCCTGTGTTTGAAGTCGCTGCAGCAAAGTGATGGAGGAAAAGACCACAAATCACTGGCTGACCATAGTTGAATGTGCAGAGGGCATTTACGCCAGGGCATTGATGTGCTAGTGATATAAGCAAGTCTACCCTGAATGCCTTTTGATCTTTGAACACCTTTAATGATTGGTGTAAAGGCTATAGCTAAGTTTGATGTCTTGTTGTTAAAAGCGCATGGGGAGAAATCTTATTACACTGGGTAACAAAAACATATTTTTTGAAAATAGTCCAGGGTTTTCCAGCTGAATTAGACTAATTTTGATGCCCTGAGTCCGAAAATGACCTTGGTTTTGCTCAATCAGGTCAGGATTTTTTGCTACAGAAATATTTTTTTAACTCGATTTTGTGTAAAAAACATCAGCTGAGAAACCCTTGACGTTTTTTCAGTTTTCCTCAAGAAATAAAAGTCGACGTATCCAAAATCATTCAGTTTTTCTTTACTCCATCAAATTTGATAAGCAGAATTCATGATAACGTAGACGTACGTAATCCGTAACACTATGGCTGTATCTCAAAAAGTTGACCTGATAGAGCAAAATGCATGTGATATTCGGACTCGGAACACCAAAAATTAGTCTAAATCAGTTGAGAAACCCCTGACCATTTTTTGGCTGTCAACTTGTGTTATTAATATAGTTTGGCGTTTTGTCTCCTTTATGATGGGTTAGCACTAGTGACACTCAGGTTGTCACTAGTGCTTTACCACAAAGCACAAAAATAAGTAGAAGTTGTCTTGATCATGAACATGTAGGCAATGTAAAGTTACTAAATCTAGATATAATTACTGGCGTCCAAGTAGCAGTGCAAACAAACATCATACTATGGTATTTTTGATTGGTTTGTTTCATCTTAAAATAGAATGTTTAGTTTTCTGTGGCCAATTTTATTTTTGATTGTGTAACTGTATACACGACAAAACTACAGAACCAGAATTGACTGGGATTTCTGAATTCTGAAAGGCTACCAAAATCTTTACTTCATTATACTAATTTCCTTGCTGATTTATTAGAACATGACTGATAAAATGCTAGATCTAATATTTTGCATACTGGCTAAGAAGAATAATTGCTCTTCGATGCTCTTTCGGTCCAGAAAGCTCTAGCCATGCTAAGCTACTCATGGAAAATTGCTACCGGCTTGCTTCAACATGCTGTGATACACAACGTGACGCTATTTTGAAACTAAACTGTGCCCCCAAGGCCTAAATCACCAGGCACCAATGCTCAAAACTGCCAGTTACAGCAAAGTATAGTGATAAACAAAACACATCTTGAGCGAGACGTATAATCACAGCAAAGTGGGACTGTATGGTTAGCTTGCCGGGCTATAGTGACATTCTTCATTTGAGAACCTGTTGGATAAGATGCACTGTGAGGGCATCTTTTCCCTTTTCAGGTCGAGTCTTGATATTTAACCGCCAGTAAACGTTATGTTGATGGATGCATTTAAGATATCCGGAGCAAAGGGTGACTCATGAAATCCAGCCGACGTCCATGGAACACAAATAATGGTGCAGCTGACGGTGTTCTATTTGTCTGATCCAGTCCGTCTGCTTTTAGTAATGGTCGAACCTTTTTCTTATATCTGACCTCTAATGGCCTTTTAAAGGTGCCACATTCCTGGAACAGTAGAAACATCATGCTTACGACACAGCATTTAGATGGTTCACCTTTTTAGATGTTTCCCGAGAATAATTGGTGAAGCGATTTCTCTGCTCAACACAGATGTTTCCAAAGTTTGACAGGCCTATAGCCTATACAAACAGCTGATTTTATTAGACAAGTTTTTTTTAAACGGGTAGTTGGTACTGATACAGTAGGCTTAGCATAAATCGTTCATGGATATTGAAGTAAATATGCAATTTTTAAAGAAGGGGAGGATAGACACATCTTTCGTAATAAATGAACCTGAATCTGAGGAACAACATATCCAATGTTAATTCATGAATTCATGTTTGTTTACTGTTCATCTATTGCATCTGTGGTTATCTTATTATTTGCTTTTTAACTTTACCTTGTCATCTGTGGCAAAGTTTGGGTTGTAGCTTTGGTCACAGTTACAATGTTGAAAGGTATTCTCTCTCCTTTTTTCTCTTTTTACATTTGGTGTTCCAAATACATTTTATAACATATTCAGTTATCCAGGAACCAGGGAAGGGGTGATATTTCTTGAGGCATATGTATTTTGACTTATAAAAGAAGCAATGCAAGTTCAAGTTCTATTGCCATTAGCTATGTCTAGTAAATGTATGCATTCTTTTATTTTGCAAAATATTTGCATACAATTAAAGTTGTGCAGTTCTCCAACAATTTCTAACATAAATGGCATAATATTGCATAAAAGTACAATTTCAATGGAGGTGCAAACAAGCCTGAGCATTGAAAAATATTTGCAGAACACAAAGCAGGCTGTGACACTGTATACATTTTTTGGCTTCTGCAAAAAAGATGAGAGGCAGTGATGGCTTGCATGTGTGGGGAGACGTGTTGCCAGAGAGTGAGAGAGGGTGGCAGGCGATGGATGGAGTAAATTGGCTTGCACGGCCCGCACACAGGCGCCTTTGTTTGCGCAGTGGGGTAGGTGGTAATAGGCCCTGGCTGCTTGTGCGCAGGTGAAAAGAGAATGATAAACACTGACTTTCTCAGTTTGTTTTTCTTTTTCCAACTATCGTCTAGAATCAAATTTCACTGCCAAAAAAGAGAGGGGGCGAAAACTATGTGCAGGTCTTTTTGTTTATTCTTTTGCCAGCGTTTATCGCCTCTGGTTATTATGCAGACTCTTGCTGCTTGGTAATAACTGCTGTCACATGCCTCCAACATCGAAATCAGTACCAAGTATCACAATCCAATAAACAATTCATCTCATTTGTCCACTGATGGGTCCAACCATTCTGCTTTGTTATCAAATGTCTTCATAAATTGAAACTGTAGCTAGGGCATAAACATTTAATTTCACATTTGCATTTCTTGCATCCAAGTCGAGGAGTAAACAGGCCTAATGCCATTTGCATTATTCAACGAATCAGACAGAATGCTAACAAACTCGAGCATACTACATATGTAGTAGAATTCACTTTAACAAAGACAGTACTTTTGTAGTTACAGGATCAACATTTAGTTGAAAACACAATTAGAACAATTTATCTAAGAGGGAGAAAAGTGCTATTATCAACCCCTTCACTGGTACCGGTTCATATAGGGTATTGGCAGATATTGAAGACAAAGTATCAGGATCCCAATTGGACTTGAAAAAGCTGGTGCATCCCTAATTGTTACAAATAAATGATTCACTAAATCCACATTCAGAAGAAGGAAACTAAACAGAAAGAAGCCGTTTTATCAGAACTTACAAGACTGCAAAGAACTGACGCTGCAGCCTTTCATTATTTTTTGTAATTGAGTAATCTATCAATTATTACCTTCAATTAATTGAGTAGTCTTGATTTTTTTTATTATTGGATAAATCCAATAAAAAGAGCGCACAAGTTGAATATTTTTCTCCATTTTTGCCCAAGCAGTGCCCACATTCTCTGTAAAAAAATGTCCCTTGCAATTTACAAATGGTTTAAATTCATGTATCACATAAATACAGTTATCCATTCGTTTTTTGCTGATTTCTTCTTGTAATGTAATAATGTATTATGTCGGCAATCTTTAATTTAACACAGCCATCTTATTACTTTATAGATGAAGAGGAAGTTGGACCATGGCCCCGAGGTCCGATCGTTCCCTTCAGGAAAGAAGCCCTGCAAAGGCACCGAATATCCCTGGTGAGATCACACTACTGCCATGACCACCCACTGCTTCAAAGGAGACCCACCTATCTTTATACGTTATTGTTCCAAATCTCCTCCTTCGTTTGTTTAAACTAGCCTTCCCTCTTCACGCCCTTTGAATAAACCCACTGTATATAGCAGGAATCCATAACAGCATAGCTTCAAACAGAATCCCCTGCACTATAAAATTGCTATCCACACAGCAGTCCCAGATGTGGCTCTGCGCATTCATATTTCATGACAGTGTACACGTATGTAGCATGTAGTAACCGCATTAAAATTCCGACTCAACACGGCCACTTGAGTGTAAATGCCGGCACGTAACTAGCCGTGCTCAGCTTCTTCTCCCATTAAATATAAATCAATAATGAAATGGACCCCCAGCTGCATATTTGCTGTCGGAGTACTAGATGGTATTTCTGCTGCTGCCCTCACATCACAAGGGCAGATGGGCGCTTTGAAGTCCGCCACTGCTTTATATACAGAGGGTCATTCAAAGAGAAGATTCTGCCGGAATGCTAATTTTAATCCCAGTGTCCTTTTTGGCTTTGACATAAGAAATTTAATTAATTTGTGAAAATGTATAAGAACATAGCCTAGAGCAAATTCATTGTGGTATTAACCCAAGTGAGGAGCAGATCTCAACTTTGTTACCTCGGTCAGAATTGCTGATGGCTAACAAAGAAGTATTTTTCTGAGAAAAGAACGTCAATATACAACAGAGACGACTGTACATTCACTTTCCAAGTTTCCATAGAACTACTGTACATAAAATGCCGTCACATCCCACATAATTGGATTACTATGACATTTTTTAATAAATATTCTTGAACTATCTTTGAATATGTCTAAAAGTAAATAATTAGGTTAATCTCACTTCAGTGTTATTTATGTATTTAATTTCATTTGTTTATTTGGTTTGGGTTGTGCATGTTAATGATCACACCTCCCCAGATTGTAGCAAACATCACAAACTTTTCTCATTTATATTTGTATATTATTTTTGGCCACATGATAAGACTATATTCTATATACTGTCTTTTCATGTTTTAAAATTATTATAAATAATATAATTCGTAAAAAAATATGTTATGGTAAGGTATATGTGAATACCTCCCTATGCTACCGCCAGAGGGAGAAGTTTTTTTTTTTTTTCCAGCTGCAAACACTGCCAAGTAAATAAAATCTCTTCAATTGAGAAATTGCCAAATATTGCCAAAATATTTGTATTTGTTTTAAAAGACAGAAAACCTCTCTGAGAGTGATATCATCGGGGTACAATGACATCATACTATTAAAGGACTGAGACTGGAGCTTTTAGACAGAGGGCACATTACATTTATACAAGAAGTTTCTCATATTAATATGCATTGATTGAAAAACAACTTTGGGTCTATTTTTGTATCATACTTATCCTCTTGTATATTACAGCCCAGCTGGAATCGTGCCATGTCCGGCCACGCCCACAACCTTCGGCCACATCCGCGCAGCAAACGGTCAGGGGCAGCAGAGGCGGCGCATCACCTCCATCCAGCCACCCACGGGTCTCCAAGAATGGCTCCGAACATTTCAGGTCAGCACCCCACACCTCCCTCTCTCTCTTCCCCTCAGCCCCATGGGTTCTCCCCCAAGGATAAAAAGTCATCTAAAAGCAGTTGTCATACTCACAGTCAATGTTCACTTCCCTGATATGGCGTCCTTGTTGTTCCGGCCCTGCACATTATCATAGGCAGCGTAGCGTGGAAGTGCTAATGGATTTACCTGTAAGCGCTAAAAGCAGAGTCTTGGCTTCAGTTCACTCAAGTGATGCCGTTTCATTCATGCCATTTGAGTTTCCTATGAATTTGGGCCCTGCCTGAAAACCATTCAGGGAAAGAGCACTTTACATTTCTGGGTGAAGTGTTTTCTATTTGTAGTGTGCAAAAGAGATGGATAAATATCAATATCTTTAAATGAGATAAAATACTGATTTCTTATTTTGTAAGCAAAGTAAATAATGGCCAAACATCTTCATTTTTTTACTGAATTGCATCAAATTGATTAGAAATATATTGTATATAATTTATTGTCCCTTGTAGATGCATATTATTTAATTCAATCCATAAAATGTATCTCTGACTGAAAAGTTAGTCAAGTTAGTTTTGAAAATGAACAATTGGGTACAATCTATCCTGGAGCACTCACTGACATACTGTAACCAGCACTAGACTTGATATAATAAGCCACTCATTAGCACACCTCATGCATGCATAAACAAATATGTCAAGCACAATTTGGCATCTAGAAGCTCTATTAACGAAGTAATTAAATGAGAAGCGGAGATTGTAACATTTGAAAAAACTAATGTTGACATCACAATGTACTATGTTTTCCTGTCAACTTTTACACTAAACGATCCGTGTATTGCTTAAGGAATTATGTTTGATTTTTACACACTTTTTAAAGTAACAAAATGAAAAGCTCATAGTAATATCTGATCATAAGCTCTTAAATTCATAAACTACAAGCCAGCTTGTATACCAGCCTCACAAATGCATTACGTCATGTGTTTTTTTTTTTTTAATGCCAAACTCCATTTGCCACCACAAAGAGCAAAAATTGCATCATAGAAATGGTACACCAGCTCATTAAATGCTGTATTTTCTTTTAATACAGCTTAAGGCAAACACATGTAAAACATTGTGATGCTTTGCCTTCAATGATAGTGCAATTTTCAGAAAATAAGGTGATAACATGTTATTATCCTTGTCGGCCTATTTTACGTTTTTATTGCTATTTTGCAATATTAGAGTATAAGTATAGAGTAACATTACATGTTACGTACGTTCAAATTTCAGCTTTATGGAAAATAAGATGTCATTGAAACCTAATACTCTCAATGATGGCTGTGTGATTTGCTGTATAATAGGTTTCCATGGATTTCATTACCTAAGAGGTTTTGACTCATGTTTGAACAGCGCGGCTCACCTATAACACCTGAGCAAGTCTGTGTTTATTTTCCATTAGCTATAGCCTTGAGCTGCCACACCACTGTCTTTAATCTATAGCTAACCACATTCTGTACATTCCCCACTCTAGTCGCAGCATGTAGCTTATATTAGAAGGAAGGACTACAAAACAGGCTACAGTTTTATGAAAATATTTGAGAGGAAATAGATTAGATGTGGAAAATGTTAGCAAACCTGAAGACCACATAACCCTTGCCATTGCCACTTTGGGAACTAATTCTATATCTGTATTATGATACTGGACTGTCAAAGAGTGAATTGCTACGCAACTGCATTCTTTGCCCTGGGGCACACTGACAGAAGCAAGGCAACCAGTATGTGCCATCGGCCCCTCCGACCACCACCAACCATTCACACACACACCAGACTCATTCTAGGCAATGGGGGTGAAGTGTCTTGCCTAAAGACACAACAGCAGTTTGGCACTTTACAGCCGCAGCCTCCCCACAACTGCTTTTGAGCAAGTGTCTTGCCAAGGGCACAACGGCAGCAGACATCATTGGGAGTCGGTGGAGAAAGTCTTATGGTGGGCTCGAACACACAACCTACTGGCTCAAAGCCCAATTCTCTACCAACTGAGCTACTGTCGCCTTTGAAAGGCATAATACTTCTTTTAGCGTGATGACACACTGGTACATTGACATCACAAGTCTGAGAGCTTTTAAACAGAAGGTGTGGAGTTACATTTTTGTGCCGTAGGTTCCAGATGTGGGCATGGATGGATCTAAAAACACGTGCACGTCTGTTTTTGGATATGCTCCTCTCACCCTCTGAGGCTTTGTCATGGATCTATTATAATAACTGGATAGGGTATTACTACCTTGGAGCTGAAGAACCCACGTGCTCGCTGTACTGCACACTAAACCAGACTAAATTCATGTGGGCTACCCAGAATTTTTCCCCATTTTCCCCACTAAAACAGCTCGACCTCAGCTGACAGAAACCTACAGCTTTCATAAAGGTCGGATTTTGTGGGGATTTTAGTGTCCCTAGTCATCCTGAACTTTTTTTCTTCTTAAATCCTTCGGTTTTCTTTAAATCCACACTTAAGTGCCACAAACTCTGCTCGTCTGGCTCCCACTCTAACTCCCGCTCTGATGAGCAGCTCTGATTGGTCAGAGCGCGGCCAAGCCCCTCTGTGCGCTTGCATGACAACCACACACGCATGTTTCGCGCAACGAATCATGGGAGTTCATTCACTGGGCAGAACCGGGAGGACCAGACGATGCCCAAATACAGGCGAGTTTCCCATGGAGCTTTGCGAGTTTCCCATGGAGCTTTGCGAGTTTCCCATGGAGCTTTGCGAGTTTCCCATGGAGCTTTGCGAGTTTCCCATGGAGCTTTGCCAGTTTCCCATGGATCTTTGCCAGTTTCCCATGGATCTTTGCCAGTTTCCCATAGATCTTTGCGAGTTTCCCATGGATCTTTGCGAGTTCCAGGCGACTTCCGCTAATCTTTTCGGCACCCATGCCAGCACAAAGCGCCACTGCGCACAACCTTTCATTTGAATACAGCTTCATCTTAGATCGCCGGGGCTTGGGCTTTGTAGCGCTGCACAGAGGTAGACCAAAATGGACTGTAAGCCATAATCATCAAAAATAAAACAATGGCTTGACATTCGTCATTTTTCATGTATGAAATCTATTTCATATTTTAGTTTCATATTTAAGTTGACGTAGAGAAATACATTTTCTGAAAAATATTTCTGAACTTTTGAAAGTTTAACTTGTATGTTTTCCCCATTACAAAAAATCTGCGTTGTCTTGGGTTGCTTGTAATTCCACTACCAAAGCCATTGGAATCAGCCCTTGCTCTGTTCCCCACTGTTCAAATCCACTTATTCTTTGCCATCTAAAAATAAGTGTTTGCGACTCCATGCCCTCCCTCCTGCACTCCCCGATCGTCTGCTGCAGAGCATCTCATCAGCAGCTCATCAGTTGATCAAAAGGCAGACACTCTCCAGTCACAGTTAAGAGTCTGCGCCGTGATCACAGGTGCAGCTTTGTCACAAGGGGATCTCCTGAGACTGGAGAAGCACACAAGCAGCTCCTCGGCTGGTTGCAATATTATATGAAATGATGGATAGATGTGAAGTTAAAAGTACTGTCAATGCACATTGAGTTTGATTGGGTTGCCACTATTTCTTAACAAATCATGACTAGTTTGCCAAAAAATTTATCATAATTGAAGAATTGTTAAAGTTAGAGAAAAAAAAAACAGAATTAAAATGTTACATTAACTGTAATGTTGCTATAATGGCAGGATCATATAAAGATGTCATTGTATTTTCTATGATAGTATGGTTGCGCAAAAGCAGTCCCCTTGTGGGATCAAATGTAATGTCGGACTAGGTCACAAATAAGATTAAATATATAATACTTTAATATTAAAGATGCATTACTCAATTTTCAGCTTCTGCTTCCCGCTTGTTGTCATGGAGATATTTTCTTGCTTGCAATGTTCCACAGTGTGATATACAAATTGTTTTATTGCTCATAAACAGGATTTCTTATATTGGGTCAGATCGTCTCTTTGCAGAGATATACTGTTAATTAGCCCCTTGCTTGTGTCCAATGTAGATACAATATTTAATACACAATTGTGGAACATTTCAATCAAATTTTGCGATGGACCTGAACCAAAATTTGTCTCTCAATTCTTCCTTGCCAGAGCAGATTGCTACATGTTTTTATAAACTTCCATTTCCATTTTTTCCAGTTGATTTATGTATACAAATGTGTATAAACAATATCTTGGCAGGCTCTGTCACACCAAAGCAATTATATGTTACGTCGGTGGGACATACATAATCAGTTTTGAAACGTGACAATTAGCTGGTCATCAGTGCAAAAATGCCCACGCCCCGTTTAGCGCTTCTGGCTAAAGCTGTTGGCTGCTAAATTACAGGTAGTTTATGCATGCCAGACTTTCCATCCCTCCTCCAAGCATCATTGCTGAAGCTTTTTTTTTCCCTGGACAAAAACAACTAACTTCAGGAAGAAATTATTTCTTAATAAACTAAACTGACCCAGCGCCAAACTACAGCTTTGCAAGCAACTGAATATTCAGGCAGGACGCAAACCCAGTGGTCTCTTAGCGCGTCGATAAAGCAGTCCTTTGTCTCGATCAGATTTCTGCTGGTGTCTTGGCTCGGCGGAATGGGCAGGTGCCTGAAAGAGCACGCAGTATAGATCATTAATGAATTATAGACACATTACACACTGCGCCATGTTCGTACAGCGCCCCAATCAATTTATCCCCTCTGAGCCGACAAAGGAAGCTTACCCAGGGATTCTCAGCCCTTTGTCTGACCGGCACCTTCAGCCCATAACACCTAGGAACACGTTTTACCCAGTCCAGATGTGGACATGCATTTAAATGACCCTACAAGTTAAATAGAGCGATGGTTCCAGTGACTGCTATTTCCCGTTCTGTCCTTGGGCACCGCACAGGACGGGTGCCAATATCTCATTTAGTGGAGTCGGAGCAGTTTGGAATATGAGTACAATACGTAAGCTAGCAGCTGTGCTTATGTAATCAACAGAGTAGGAAATGATGCAGACGGTGGCTGTGTGATGAGATACAAGAGCAAAACAAACGATTCACCACTATTACAAAATCGTTAAGTGATTTTAATAAGTCAAAGATTTTGCTAAAGTGGTTGTACCGACAGCAGACATCAGTGGGAGCAGACATGGGTTGTGGTGGGATCGAATCCATGACCATCAGGTCCGAAGACCAATGCTCTAAAAATAATCTTGCAACCCCCACTTTTAGAATCCCTGCCCTAATGCCCTCACTTGTACGTATTGAGCAATATTGTACGTATTGAGCAATATATTTTTTCTATTGCCCGAAATGACAAGCAGTTGTCTCAGAGGGCATAACAGAATTGTTTATTTGCCAACGATTAGAAATATCATGCATTCAAAACATATCAGCAATTCAAACAATAAAGCCAATGGAATATTCATTGGTCCATAAAGACATGCAGATTAACCAATGCTCAGCTCTTTGCACAGAAGAAAAATGTCCCCCCTGTCCTTTGACGCTCCTTCGACGAAAAGGAAAAATTCAGTTGGAGAAGATCCTGGTTTAGATTTAGACTATTTAAATTAAAAGGTTTTACGGTTTCTGTTTATCTTATTGACATAAAGTTAAAAAATTTAATTGCTTGAAATTCAAGTATTTATTGCCCACCTCTCATATTATTCAATATGCTTTCTTCTTGGCATTGATCTTCACATGGTCACTGCAAAGTCAGTAAAGACCTCAATCATACAATCAAGGCAATCCAAACCTTTATGATAATCATCTAATTTGATTACGAGAAGTGAATGTCAACTGGGAACTGCAAACCCAGCTCTCTTTTGAAATGGCATTTTATTCCGCGCAATAAAAGATCACAACATCATTATCATGCCTGGCTGCGGCTCAGTGCTTTTGATTAGCTTCACCTTCCCGTTCATTGACACCAGCTGCCGATTCCATGTTTTAACGCTCGCACTGTTCAAATCAAACCGGGCCACTTGAGTAAACTGGGCCTTTCTCTCCCCACAAACAGAGCTGGACTGGGCCCGAGAAGCTGCTGGCCTTGGATGAGTTGATCGACAGCTGCGAACCCACGCAAGTCAAGCATATGATGCAGGTTATCGAGCCGCAGTTTCAGCGAGACTTCATTTCCCTGCTTCCCAAAGAGGTAAGTGGCCAGAGATCCACACATCGATTACCATTGGAATATGTTGGCTGGAATTATATTTAATGATAGTCCAAGTAATTAGATGTGATGTGTATTACTTTTTTATATTTCAACTTGTGATTAGCAGAATGAAAATGGTGTAATAGAGCTGGGGTACCTAACTATCATGTAATCAGTTCCTGGCTCTCAAAAGGATTTGGTTCTATCACCAGTTTTTACAAAAATATTATTTGGCTTCCACCACCCTCACCCAGTCAATCAGCTCTCAGCCTAAAGTGTCAAATGGTGACCCACAGAGCTCTTTTGTGCTAGTATGCAGAAGATGAAGGCAGTTAATTGATTGACTGCGGAACCTTCCGCAGTCAACCATTGGTTTTGTATTTCTTTATTCCGTCATTTTTTTTGACACGTTTCACAGCTTTCACATTTTCAACAATTTCCACAAGTTATACATCAAAACGTTCCACATGTTTGGGAGATTATTGCTATTACTTTTGGGACTTCAGCGATTTCCGGTTTTTCCGCAATCGGACAAAAATCTGCATTGAGAATTCTGCAATGCATTTTAATAGGCCCATGCATTTTAATAGGACTTCAGCTCTTTCAGACATTTCTACAGTTTCAATGATTCAACAGTTTCAAGGATTCAACAGTTTCAAGGATTTCAGCAGTTTCAAGATTTCAAGAGTTTCAAGGACTTCAACAGTTTCAAGGACTTCAGCAGTTTCAAGGACTTCAGCAGTTTCAAGGACTTCAGCAGTTTCAAGGACTTCAGTGTAATTATGCAACCTAATAGGGATTTTTCCATGTAAACCAGTATAATGCAACTTAATAGGGATTTTTCCATGTAAACCAGTATAATGCAACTTAATAGGGTTTTTTCATGTAAACCAGTATAATGCAACTTAATAGGGTTTTTTTTCATGTAAACCAGTATAATGCAACTTAATGGGGATTTTTCCATGTAAACCAGTATAATGCAACTTAATAGGGGTTTTTACATGTAAACCAGTATAATGCAACTTAATAGGGTTTTTTCCATGTAAACCAGTATAATGCAACTTAATAGGGTTTTTTCCATGTAAACCAGTACAATGCAACTTAATAGGGATTTTTCCATGTAAACCAGTATAATGCAACTTAATGGGGATTTTTCCATGTAAACCAGTATAATGCAACTTAATGGGGATTTTTCCATGTAAACCAGTATTATGCAACTTAATAGGGATTTTTCCATGTAAACCAGTATATATAGGGATTTTTCCATGTAAACCAGTATAATGCAACTTAATGGGGATTTTTCCATGTAAACCAGTATTATGCAACTTAATAGGGATTTTTCCATGTAAACCAGTATAATGCAACTTAATAGGGTTTTTTTCATGTAAACCAGTATAATGCAACTTAATAGGGTTTTTACATGTAAACCAGTATAATGGAACTTAATAGGGGTTTTTACATGTAAACCAGTATAATGGAACTTAATAGGGGTTTTTACATGTAAACCAGTATAATGCAACTTAATAAGGATTTTTACATGTAAACCACTATAATGTAACCTAATAGGGGTTTTTACATGTAAACCAGTATAAAGCAACTTAATAGGGATTTGTACATGTAAACCAGTATAATGCAACCTAATAGGGATTTTTCCATGTAAACCAGTATAATGCAACTTAATAGGGATTTTTCCATGTAAACCAGTATAATGCAACTTAATAGGGATTTTTCCATGTAAACCAGTATAATGCAACTTAATAGGGATTTTTCCATGTAAACCAGTATAATGCAACTTAATAGGGATTTTTCCATGTAAACCAGTATTATGCAACTTAATAGGGATTTTTCCATGTAAACCAGTATAATGCAACTTAATAGGGTTTTTTTCATGTAAACCAGTATAATGCAACTTAATAGGGTTTTTTCATGTATAATGCAACCTAATAGGTTGCATTATACCACCAGACCAAGACCCAAACGAAGACTCAGACCACCACCAGATAATGACCACAGACCAGGTTTCCTTAGTTACAGGAACCAAATTGTTTCAGCGGTGAGGGGATTTTTCAGTTTCAAGGACACTTTCAATACATTCAGTAGTTTCAAGGATTTCAGCTGTTTAAGAATTTAACCAGTTTCAAGGATATCAGGAGGTTCAAGGATTTCAGGAGTTTCCACACTTTCAACAGTTTCCAGGTTTAAAAAAGTTTCAAGGATTTCAGGAGTTTCAATGTTTCAACAGTTTCAAGGATTTCAGGAGTTTAAAGGTTTCAACAATTTCAAGGACTTCAGGAGTTTCAAATATCTATCAAGTATTTTAACAGTTTCAAGGCTTTTTAAAGGATTTCAAGGATTTTTTTTAGCAGATTTCCACATTAGATCTGTTCCGCAGTCAATCGCAATGGCTTCAGCCATTGCAAGTTTCTAGTCTTGTGTGTTGTTCACAATATGTTAAATATCCTAGAATAAAGACTCTTGGTTGGGAACATCAGCTTTATTGATTGACTGCGGAACCTTCCGCAGTCAACCATTGGTTTTGTATTTCTTTATTCCGTCATTTTTTTTGACACGTTTCACAGCTTTCACATTTTCAACAATTTCCACAAGTTATACATCAAAACGTTCCACATGTTTGGGAGATTATTGCTATTACTTTTGGGACTTCAGCGATTTCCGGTTTTTCCGCAATCGGACAAAAATCTGCATTGAGAATTCTGCAATGCATTTTAATAGGCCCATGCATTTTAATAGGACTTCAGCTCTTTCAGACATTTCTACAGTTTCAATGATTCAACAGTTTCAAGGATTCAACAGTTTCAAGGATTTCAGCAGTTTCAAGATTTCAAGAGTTTCAAGGACTTCAACAGTTTCAAGGACTTCAGCAGTTTCAAGGACTTCAGCAGTTTCAAGGACTTCAGCAGTTTCAAGGACTTCAGTGTAATCATGCAACCTAATAGGGATTTTTCCATGTAAACCAGTATAATGCAACTTAATAGGGATTTTTCCATGTAAACCAGTATAATGCAACTTAATAGGGTTTTTTCATGTAAACCAGTATAATGCAACTTAATAGGGTTTTTTTTCATGTAAACCAGTATAATGCAACTTAATGGGGATTTTTCCATGTAAACCAGTATAATGCAACTTAATAGGGGTTTTTACATGTAAACCAGTATAATGCAACTTAATAGGGTTTTTTCCATGTAAACCAGTATAATGCAACTTAATAGGGTTTTTTCCATGTAAACCAGTACAATGCAACTTAATAGGGATTTTTCCATGTAAACCAGTATAATGCAACTTAATGGGGATTTTTCCATGTAAACCAGTATAATGCAACTTAATGGGGATTTTTCCATGTAAACCAGTATTATGCAACTTAATAGGGATTTTTCCATGTAAACCAGTATAATGCAACTTAATAGGGATTTTTCCATGTAAACCAGTATAATGCAACTTAATGGGGATTTTTCCATGTAAACCAGTATTATGCAACTTAATAGGGATTTTTCCATGTAAACCAGTATAATGCAACTTAATAGGGTTTTTACATGTAAACCAGTATAATGGAACTTAATAGGGGTTTTTACATGTAAACCAGTATAATGTAACTTAATAAGGATTTTTACATGTAAACCACTATAATGTAACCTAATAGGGGTTTTTACATGTAAACCAGTATAAAGCAACTTAATAGGGATTTGTACATGTAAACCACTATAATGTAACCTAATAGGGGTTTTTACATGTAAACCAGTATAAAGCAACTTAATAGGGATTTGTACATGTAAACCAGTATAATGCAACCTAATAGGGATTTTTCCATGTAAACCAGTATAATGCAACTTAATAGGGATTTTTCCATGTAAACCAGTATAATGCAACTTAATAGGGATTTTTCCATGTAAACCAGTATAATGCAACTTAATAGGGATTTTTCCATGTAAACCAGTATAATGCAACTTAATAGAGATTTTTCCATGTAAACCAGTATAATGCAACTTAATAGGGATTTTTCCATGTAAACCAGTATAATGCAACCTAATAGGGATTTTTCCATGTAAACCAGTATAATGCAACCTAATAGGTTGCATTATACCACCAGACCAAGACCCAAACGAAGACTCAGACCACCACCAGATAATGACCACAGACCAGGTTTCCTTAGTTACAGGAACCAAATTGTTTCAGCGGTGAGGGGATTTTTCAGTTTCAAGGACACTTTCAATACATTCAGTAGTTTCAAGGATTTCAACTGTTTAAGAATTTAACCAGTTTCAAGGATATCAGGAGGTTCAAGGATTTCAGGAGTTTCCACACTTTCAACAGTTTCCAGGTTTAAAAAAGTTTCAAGGATTTCAGGAGTTTCAATGTTTCAACAGTTTCAAGGATTTCAGGAGTTTAAAGGTTTCAACAATTTCAAGGACTTCAGGAGTTTCAAATATCTATCAAGTATTTTAACAGTTTCAAGGCCTTTTAAAGGATTTCAAGGATTTTTTTTAGCAGATTTCCACATTAGATCTGTTCCGCAGTCAATCGCAATGGCTTCAGCCATTGCAAGTTTCTAGTTTTTGATTGACTGCGGAACCTTCCGCAGTCAACCATTGGTTTTGGTGTTCTTTATTCCGTCTTTTTCCTGATTTTTGACACGTTTCACAGCTTTCACATTTTCAACAATTTCCACAAGTTATACATCAAAACGTTCCACATGTTTGGGAGATTATTGCTATTACTTTTGGGACTTCAGCGATTTCCGGTTTTTCCGCAATCGGACAAAAATCTGCATTGAGAATTCTGCAATGCATTTTAATAGGCCCATGCATTTTATAATAGGACTTCAGCTCTTTCAGACATTTCTACAGTTTCAATGATTCAACAGTTTCAAGGATTCAACAGTTTCAAGGATTTCAGCAGTTTCAAGATTTCAAGAGTTTCAAGGACTTCAACAGTTTCAAGGACTTCAGCAGTTTCAAGGACTTCAGCAGTTTCAAGGACTTCAGCAGTTTCAAGGACTTCAGTGTGCAACCTAATAGGGATTTTTCCATGTAAACCAGTATAATGCAACTTAATAGGGGTTTTTACATGTAAACCAGTATAATGCAACTTAATGGGGATTTTTCCATGTAAACCAGTATAATGCAACTTAATAGGGGTTTTTTACATGTAAACCAGTATAATGCAACTTAATGGGGGTTTTTTCCATGTAAACCAGTATAATGCAACTTAATAGGGTTTTTTTCATGTAAACCAGTATAATGCAACTTAATGGGGATTTTTCCATGTAAACCAGTATAATGCAACTTAATAGGGTTTTTACATGTAAACCAGTATAATGCAACTTAATAGGTTTTTTACATGTAAACCAGTATAATGGAACTTAATAGGGTTTTTTACATGTAAACCAGTATAATGGAACTTAATAGGGGTTTTTACATGTAAACCAGTATAATGCAACTTAATAGGGATTTTTACATGTAAACCAGTATAATGCAACTTAATAGGGATTTTTCCATGTAAACCAGTATAATGCAACTTAATAGGGTTTTTTACATGTAAACCAGTATAATGCAACTTAATTGGGGATTTTTCCATGTAAACCAGTATAATGCAACTTAATAGGGGTTTTTACATGTAAACCAGTATAAAGGATAACAGTTTAAAGGATATCAGGAGCTTCAAATACTTCACGAGTTTCAAAGATGTTTAAAGTATTTTAACAGTTTCAAGGATTTCAGGGATTTTTCAGCTAAATTCCACATTAGATCTGTTCCGCAGTCAATCGTAATGGCTTCAGCCATTGCAACGGTTTCTAGTTTATAGTTAGTAACCCCAGCCAAGTTCTCTACATGTATGTAAGTTACTTGTTTGACAATGACACTCACTAAAATAAAAACATATTAAAACACCTAAAGAAAATATGAACATAAAACAAATGTCAAACACACACTGGTCTAGGATATGAAAAAAATACACAGTATCCGCTTCCTCGTACGAAGTTTCAGGGCTCCACCTGTTTGCCCATCCAAAAAATCTCCTAAAAGGATTGCATTTCATAGACTGTTTTACTTCCTTTCTTTACATCGTTAAATGTTCAGTACATATACTCTATAATCTGTAGTAATAAAAAAACCACAGCAGAACCAATTTTCGCACAACACCCACATTTCCACGGGTTCCCTCTCAATTGGACAAACCAGCCCTTTCAACCGCCAATTTCCACCCTTCTCATGCCCTAATCCTGTCACCGCCTCCCCTCACATCAGTTATGAAACCCCAAAAGCTTCCTGAGTGGGCATGTAGTTTCACCTCAGATCTGACAATATAAACAAGATAAGATCACACGGGGGGGATGCTTCCAAAGCGGCCCCCATCCTGTGTACCTGCCGCAGCTGATCAAATGCTTTGCTCTGCGTCACCGTGTGGCAGGTGCAAGCACGCAGACGGGGAGGAGATTACAGGCTGAGGCAAGAGGGGGAAAGCTTTCAAGGTGCCCACAATCCCTGCTCCCAAAGACAAATGTGTACAAAGGTTTACGGGCAGGTGACGTGGAGAAAACAACAAGTTGTTAGCGCGGGTATTGTCAAAACAGTTCAATATGTTTAGGAAATACAGGGTGGAAGTTGGTCTCGAATTCTGCTTAAAAGCTTGTAAGATAGATAAGATACCGAACAAACTACCGAAGATAGATATTCGGTATTTTGCTTTTAGTTTTTAGTCAAATGTATAAAAGATTCCATATTCCCTGACATTTTTTGGGTTTAAACATTGAAATAAAAAATTATTTGAAATAATTATCTGACTGACTAATGGATTATCACGTCATTGTTCATTACAGCCCTAATATTTTGTATACATTGTAGTATTTTGTGTACTGAAAGGTTGTATTGTACGAGTTTTAACATTTTGCAAAATAGCAACACTGCCTGCAGCTTATAGGCATTATCTCTTGTCAATATTGAAGTATATAACCATTTATAGACCAGCATTCTTTTTTGTAGGAAAAAAACCCCAAATTGTATGTAAAGTAGTGTGCCTAGAGTGATAATGACAAAAATTTGTACATTTTGATAACAATATTGAGAAACATAATGTGCTGATATGTACCTAAATGTCCTGGTTTAAAGTGTATTTTCACATGAATCTTTAAATTGATTGCCAAGGAGCAGATATTTGCCTGGGATTTGTTTGAGACGTGTTTGAGGATTCAAAAGCATTCATTTCTATTAGTTTAATCTATAAATGAAATGCTCTCTGTTTAAATCTTCAAAACAGATACTTCTATAAAGATTCAGAATTGAGTTTCCTCCCCATTTCAAAAGAGAGAGACGTGAGCAGAGAGAGAGAGACGTGAGCAGAGAGAGAGAGCAGAGAGAGACGTGAGCAGAGAGAGAGAGACGTGAGCAGAGAGAGAGAGACGTGAGCAGAGAGAGAGAGACGTGAGCAGAGAGAGAGACGTGAGCAGAGAGAGAGAGACGTGAGCAGAGTTATCACAGATTGAAGAAGAGAGACGCGAGCAGAGAGAGAGAGAGAGAGAGGTGAGCAGAGAGAGACGCGAGCAGAGAGAGACGTGAGCAGAGAGAGAGAGAGAGAGGTGAGCAGAGAGAGACGTGAGCAGAGAGAGAGAGACGCGAGCAGAGAGAGAGAGACGCGAGCAAAGAGAGAGAGAGACGTGAGCAGAGAGAGAGAGACGCGAGCAGAGAGAGAGAGACGTGAGCAGAGAGAGAGAGACGTGAGCAGAGAGAGAGAGACACGAGCAGAGAGAGAGACGCGAGCAGAGAGAGAGAGACGCGAGCAGAGAGAGAGACGCGAGCAGAGAGAGAGAGACGCGAGCAGAGAGAGACGCGAGCAGAGAGAGAGAGACGTGAGTCCGCGTGTCTATGGTCCGCGCTCGGAGCCCAGACGGCAGTGCGTTCACTGAGCGGAGGATGTAACGTAACGTTCGGTTTATCAAAACATATCACAATATTTAATGTATATTAAATAAATTCTAGTGAATTTCACCTAGATTTTTTCAGACATTAAAGACAAGATGTTATATAATAATTGTTTAATGAAAAAACAATTTTGCCACAAGCAACCAAAAGATGTGCCTCAGACAAGAATCGAACCTGGGTTCTCCAGGTCCCAGTCTTTGATGCTAACCATTGGGCCAACATAGAACCTTTGGGCTAGACAGGTTTGCACGCAGTCTTATACCTGAGCGTCTAAGTCACTGGCAGAGCTAAAGTGGACTTAGCCTGCCACCTTGTGGCGATAAGATGTACTATTTTTCACGCAGCTGCGTGATTCCCGAGAAGCGTGAATGAAGACGACAAAACGGAATGGGACCTACTGTAACTGACTTTGGGATTTTGAAGCCGCGGACTCGCTGGCCTCTCTCTTTCTGCTCCCCTCCCCGCACCCACGAAGCTATCGCCCCCCACACACACCCACTGTTGGGACGGAGCTAGTGTCTCCCAATATGGATAATACATGAATATGGATTTGCACGTGGATGGCGTGACCATAAAACGATAGAACCGGGAAGCGCGGAGGAATGGGACTTTCTTTTGGATGGCTGTTTCGCTAAGTAAGCAGTAACCGGTGATGAAGACGAAGCTTCAGGTTAGCTCCTCGGCTTGTTGTGCTAACTCAGCTGTCTATGCTAACGGACATGTAGATTTCTCACGAAAGTGGGGGCCAGTGGTCCGTTGTGATTGGTCACAATCTGCGACCCGAAACACATTCTCTTCCTTGTTTCATCAAAACTCGATCTAAAATATAATGTCACGCCAGCACAAATCTGCGCTAATTATTCTTCAAAAGGACGTATATCCCAATGCACTACATGGACATGGATAGCATTTTCGTAATGAATACGAAAATAAAGTCAGTTAGTGCAGCTTTAAGTGATACCTTGGGTGATTTCAGGTCCCCTCTCCTCCAGTTGGTGTCGATCCGGTGCTGCCTGATATAGGCACTCTTCCAGGGGCTATGCGTGAAACCAGGCTTGACCACTTTTCTCTTCTTGGGAGGCAGTGGCTCGTCGATGCCTGGAAATGTACAGGAAGGGGATTGAACTTAGAGCAGACAATAAAGCAGCTGCAAAGTGAGCCTAACCATTTGGAATGACGCTTTAATTATTGCTTCAGACTGAATAAAGAGTATGGGACTGAATTTGATGTAATTGAACAAAGTCAGCATTTATTTTCATTCTATTTCTCACATACTGTAAATTGGCATACCCAGCCAGAGATTTAATCATTTTTGCCATTTTATTATTATTATTTTTTAATTGTTAGTGGTTGTGTGAAGCCATTTATTGGCCAATAAGTGTTTTCTCCATTTTCAAATTATAACATACCTGCTGTGGATGCTGGGTTGTCTAAAACTATATGGCGTTTATCACATAGCATTTCAAACACAAGCATCCAAATTCGCTCTGAGAGTTTGGGATTAAATGATTCTGTAGCGTATGTGTGTGTAGTGCATGTGTGTAAATAATAGTTCATACGATACAGAAAACACTTATATTCTGTTTTTAGTTATATTTGCTTGGTGGCAAAATACAAAACTATTGGAATTTTTATTATCAGCATGTCAAAATGTCCATCCATCCATCCATTTTCTACCCTTTAATCCATTTCTGGGTCAGGGGGGTGGCAATCAGAGATGCCACCCAAGTCTCATAGCACCAGCCCCTCACTGACCCTCTGCAGGTGGTGAGTCCACAGGAGGATGTCCTGTCAAAATGTATTGAATCAAAATCCTGACCCTCGTATCAAAATACAAACCATATCGTGACTTCAGTGTATCCTTGAATCCCTGCTGGGTGTGTAAACCATCAAGCACAACTCTAGGTCTCATTGCACACTTTAGTTCATTACAAACTGGCCGCATGCAATCAATCACAGTCCGCCTTCGCACTGCTTCTTTTGACCAGCTGGAGCAGACTAAAGTGGGAGGACTTGAAAAGTAAACACCAAAGCAGGTGTAAACAAGAGCAGCGCATCACAGTGACTGCATTAGCGGCATCAGAGCTCTCCCGCTGGGCGCACACACGCCGCCCGTCTGCCGTGGTGTGCTGCTCGCTCACCTTCCTCCCGGCACTTCTCCCTCCACAGCAGGTTGTCCTCTGCCAGGATGCGCCAGTATCGGCACGTCTGTGCAGCCTGGAGGAGGTCCTTGGGCTCTAGGAATGACAGCACGTACAGAGCCAGCTGTTGGGGAGAACAAACACAGGAAATGGTAGGGTTAGGGACAAATGCATGTAGTAAGAGGGTTTGGAGAATTTAAACAAGCACAGAAAAATATTACTTTATGGCGGTGCGTTTAAGTTATATGGGCTGTAATTAACAATTATGCCAAGGCAAAATCCCATTTGGGTTGCCAGTTTTGATTTGATTTTTATGGTTCTTCTTGATTCTTTATTTAGAAAATTGACACACACAAAATGACCCCACACATATTTTAATAAAACCAGGTAAAAAATAAGTAGGCTTACATAATACAGTTTTTATCAGTTCTAGCTAAACCCCAGCAGATGGATTGCATTTGTAATTTCTGCTTAGGAGCTACAGGTGTTACAAGCAGGGAAGACTCTTGCCAGAAAAGTTGGATGGTAAGGACCTTATTAAACTACATATTACATACTGTCTCTTTAAGTGCAATCTTTTTCAAATAGTTTTTGAAATGAATGATAAAAATGTTGGATCTCTTCTAAGATCAAGTAGTTTTTTGTTTCACTTAATACACATACTGATTGACAAATTCCATTGGTTTTGAACTTATGCAAAGACAATGGTTTCTCCTACATGGCTTGGACATGTCTCAGCTTCATGAATAACTAGAGATATTAAAAATGTTAGGTAAGTAAACTCAGAATATCTATAGAATAAATTAAGGTAAATATTACATATAAGGTATTGCAAGCCTGGACAGTAATAAAGACCATGCAGCTTGTTGGAAATAGAAAGGATAATGGATTTCTGATGAAAAGCAATTCATATTTGTCCAAACAAAAGATGAAAAGCACAATGAGAGACAGCAGGTAATGGCAGCCGACATAGTCCACTGAACTGAGAAGAAAAGACAATTCAAACACAACCCCGACCTTTTTTCCATATTGCTCAAAACATGGTGAATTTTAAATACCTAAAGCGGTGTCAGAGCAACAGTTTGAGTGCTTTAAAGTTGTCACTAATGGACATGGGAAATGGCTGGTTTATTTGGGTGCAATAATCTGTGATAACCCTTGAAAGTAAATTAAAAGTGAGTTTTGTGACTAATGCATAGAGTAAATAGTGTGGCTATCAAGCGTGCACTGCTCATTAGGTACTTGATGTGCGCGAGTTTGCGGTCTCTCATCCATTCCCACTAAAGCATTTCAGGTGTTGCTGTCAAATTAGCCGCAGCTCGTGAAAAATGACTCTCCCAAAGGATATTTTAGGAAGTTTAAAGATGTAATCAAAAGAACTTTCACCGTGCATTTCAGGTTACGGGGGAAATCAGTTTTTGTATCACTATTATTTGAATATTTGAAATGGGAGGAAACTCAATTCTGAATCTTTATAGAAGTATCTGTTTTGAAGATTTAAACAGAGAGCATTTCATTTATAGATTAAACTAATAGAAATGAATGCTTTTGAATCCTCAAACACGTCTCAAACAAATCCCAGGCAAATATCTGCTCCTTGGCAATCAATTTAAAGATTCATGTGAAAATACACTTTAAACCAGGACATTTAGGTACATATCAGCACATTATGTTTCTCAATATTGTTATCAAAATGTACAAATTTTTGTCATTATCACTCTAGGCACACTAC